AGCTGGCCATTGTCAGCTATCTCATCGTGTTTGCATTCGGCTGCCAGCAGCAAACAGCTGCAGGGGAGAAACAGGCTAGCAGATGCCATCTTACTGAAGTTGACTGCAATGTCTCGTGTTCTATCAAAAGTATCACCTGCGATACTAATAATGACAATGAGGTCAATTTGATCTACAAAACGAGTACTAGGCTTGCCAGGGCTACATGGGGAAACCCTATCTCAAAACACCAAAAAATTAAACCATATAGACCAACTACAAGTTTTGTATGAACATTAATTTGAGAATTACTTTCCTGTCCTTTTTCTTGGCTACTGAGGAGTGATATTTAACTGGCAACTTTATGTAAGGAAACGTCTCTCCATACTTTCAGCTCTCTCTTAGCGAGTCAGGAGCCATGCTCCTTAGTCCTTGTCAGCTGGGTTTGCCCTTTCTCTATGAAGAGAGAAAGAAACAGATGTCAGGACCTTGTTACCAAGTAACCTGCAGCTGTCAGTGCCAGGGATTTCTCAGCTGACTTCATACCCATGAGGTCACATGACTGAAACTGATAATGTTAAAATCAAATGAAAACATTAAAGTTCAACATGAAGGAGAGTAAAATTCTTACTTTTTAAAATAATTTACTCCTTTGGCAAAAAAAATGTACTGAAACTTAGCTGCAGAAATTACAGAACAGACTAATTAAGGGGAAGAATTCTGGCAACTGAAAGGTTTCTACAGAAGCTCAGAGGTGCTTATGAGATGGATGTTAATAACTGTGTCTGAATTCCTAACCCCAAATACTCAGACGAAAGAAATGGAATGAACTCAGTTTCGTCTTTTAAATCATACTATTAAACTTAGATATATTTTTATGATATCCAAAACCTTCATAAAACTCTACAATAATCCTAAGAGTATTAAAGGTGTAAGTCATCATTATATTTAGTTAACTTTGTGAGTTTGTCAAAGGCCAAGTTTCTGTGTAACCTGAGAGCCATTATTCCCTCACTTCAGGAAGATATGAATTCAAGAGAAGGGGTAGCCGCCAAACTCCAGTGAAGAGACCTTTAGGCCTTCCTAAAATGTTGTACTTGGTCGTCCAGTGTTTGAGCTGATGCCTGCTGTGCTCTCTGTGGCAGTGCAGATCTGACCAGACAAACAAGCAACAGCTGCCTGGACTCAGCATGCCTTAAGTCCATCATTTGTCAAAAAACAAATGAAACCCATGCCTTCTTTTGAGTTGTGAAATGGGGGTCTGATGTGGGAGTGTCATATCAATCTGTTGATTTCATTGGTTAATTAATAAAGAAACTGCTTGGCCTGATAGGTTATAACATAGGTGGGTGGAGTAAACATAACAGAATGCTGGGAGGAAGAGGAAGTGAGGAAGACACCATGCCGCTCCTCTCCAGGGCAGACATGATGAAGCAAGTCCCCAGGTCAGACATGCTGTATCTTTCCTGGTAAAGACTGGTGCTACACAGATTACTAAATATGGGTTAGGCAAGATGTGAGAATTAGCCATTAAGAGGCTAGAAATAACGGGCCAAGCAGTGTTTAAAAGAATACAGTTTCCATGCAATTATTTCGGGGCATAAGCTAGCCAGGCGGCCGGGAGCCGGGTGGCAGGAATGCAGCCCGCAGCTCCCACTACAGGGGTCATCTTATGGAAAAGCCTTCCTGCTCCTGTTGTTGTTCCCCACTGCTATTTAGAACTGATCTTCAGTTGTATTTACCCAATAATCAGGAAGCAAGTAGGGAAAGTATTAATAACTCAAGAGACAATGTAAATGAAGACAGGGTCATCTTGGAATATTCACTTTAAACTGGAATTCTCAAATACATTTTTGGCTTTACGATTCCAGAGGGATTATTTCTCTGACAAGGGCAGGGCCACTGAAATCTCTGCAGATACATTTCAGAAATGGTTTGCACACTGGACAGTTGCAAAGCGGTTACTAACTTTGTTTGAAATGGATACAATAGTAACATGGGTAGAACAAATGACAGCCATCAATCAAACTATTGGCAACTGTAAAATGTTAGGCAAAAGTATCACACACACACACACACACACACACACACACACACACACACACGACACACGAAGCTGGAGAAAAGCTATTTAGGAGAATGAAGGGACCAATGAAGAATGGACAAGGGCAGGGAAGGGAAAGGGACGAATAAAGCAAGGTACAACAATACGTAGAAAAATGTCACACAAAAAACATTACTTTGTATTCTAAGTAAAAAGTAAAACATAAAAGTAAATTAATCTCACAATTATTCTAAGAACAAGACTTTAGAAAAAAGAATAAATATATGCTATGTGATGCTATTTTCACAGAGGTTTAAGAAATGCTAACCAACAGAACAGGCAGTGTGCCAGTGGCTGATTGGGGTGCTGCAGAAAAGCCAGGGAGGAACCACAGGGAGAAAACAGAGAATAGGAGGGTGTCAGATGCCTTGTTGGGGTAAAGGGTACAAAGGATTATATACATGTCAATAAATAAATACTTTATACACACTAGTCTGTGCATCAAACATATCCCATTAAGTCAGTTTTTAAAAAGAAAGGAAAGAAAAAAACATGGTTATAAGAAGTGAAGATGTTTGGCTGTTATTTTCTCAAAAGTAAAGTGAGTTTCACTCTTTAAAGAAAAAGCCTAGTAAGTTTTATGGCCAGGGATAAAAAAAAATCTTTCAAATAAAAATTAAAATTTTAGAAAACATGCTTTTGTTATTATGAGCCTGAGAGTGTCCCCATTACTTTCCTAATGAGATTACATGTGACATTAATGAATGTGCTCCCTGGATATTATATAATGAACTGTGTCACTATTAGAAAGATCTGTATATGCTAATGACCTGATATTCTCCAAATGACTCAATCATGCTGCAGAATCATGCATGAACAAAAGACACATTTTAATTGCATATCAACCAATGGGCTTAATATAAACTTTCAAGGAAAGCTCATTAATAGGGTTTTAGATTCCACAACAAAACTAGTTTTTTAGAAAATGTAGCAAAATCTTCTGTGGTAGGCAGGACAGAAAGATGGTGGCACACACATGCCCCATCTTAATCCCGGGATACTATGAACATTAGATATCGCTCTCATACATATGTTCAGTCAGATGGCAGAGCTGACCTTCTTCCAGGGCGATTATCTAAGTGGATTCAGTCTCATCACAACAAATCCCCAGCAGCTAAGGAAAATGTAAATCTGAGAAATCTAATACCCACTGAGGATCTGGCAGGCCAAACATGTGATATGAAGACACACAGAGCATTCGGGAACCCCAGGCCATAGAGACAGGCCTGCTGCCAACACCTGAGCAATCCTGATAGGAGATCAGCCCCAAAAGTCCCCAGATGAGAGCTAGGCCTCACATTTTAAAAAAGGCTTGAGAAACTCCAGTCAAGATTCAACTTCTAATGGACACTACAGTGAGGTAATAAAGGAGTTACTTTAAGCTCCTAGACGACAGACGTTTATTACGAGCTACACTCTTGTCAATCAAAGCAGGCATCAAGTGGGATGAATCACACTGCTGAGTTTTAGCTCCAAGGAAGTCCACAGGAGTGGAAGGTGCAAAGTGAAGAGAGAAAAGAAAAGAAAAAGGAAACAAGCAAAGAAAATATGCTAAAATACTCATCAGATAAACCACATAAATTCTACCATGGGGAATGCTTTACAGTTATGCCAGCAGACGGGTAGAAATGACTGGTAATTAGGAAACAATCATAAGTCAAATGAACAGAAAAAGTCAAGACACGACAACAAACGCTGTGGCACAGAAAGACCACAGCCTGCTGCCTCGAAGGCGTTCCCTTTCATAACGTGTACAGAACTGCAGCATATACTCGCCATTGCACCGCCATACGTGTGTCTGGCTATTGTACACAACTCTCTTGGGCTTTATCCAGCTCATGTTTGCCATCTGAACCTGGCACCCATGCTAATGAGTTACTTTTCTTCAAGTTTGGCCTACTCCCAAATCTAGGCTTTTTTTTTTTTTTTTGGTAGCATTTCTTGCTAACCAAGAGCTTCCTCTGTACCTACACAAATATCAGCATGCATTTATGCTTAAACATCCTATTCTAATAATAACTCCATGCTATTCAACCGTTCCTAAGTTTTTAGAATGTGCTCGTTCACGTACAGATCTCAGACAGTTCTGTTTAGATTAAGTTAGTTAGAATCTGTGTGTGCTGCAGTTATGTTAACAGATGGAGTATTTCAGCAGCAGACTAAGTAGTGTGATAAGACAGGATGTTAACCCAAACCAGTGGACACATTCTACAGGCCACATTGACCAGGGAATCTACAGAACTGGGTTACAGTTACAAATAATTTTCAAATTCCTTTTTTAAAATTTTTAAAATTTCTTCATTTAAAATAAGTGAGGTAGATACTAAAAGGGCCAAGCAAACACTTTTGGGTTATGAAGCACTGTAAACTGTTTATCTCTGTAATTGTCCAAAACAAGAAGAAAGAGAACCAAGAAAAACCTTAAACAGACCATGTCAGTTTGAAGTTGCCCATGTTTGTCGCTATAAGTTGTTAAAGAGCTAGAGGCATGAAAGTGTCCCGAGAAGTTTCCCAGCCTTGTGTTAGCCACACATGAACACAACACATGGTTCACGAGTGGCCATGAAAGAATGTGTGGAGATGGATTTTGAAATGACAGACAAGGACAAAACAGAAGATAGTTCCTGTAGTGCTATCAAGTCACACGAATGCTCAGTTTTACTAAGCACTCTTTTACACATAAACATTATATATAACTGAACTCCATGTGTAACTACAGTCTAATAAATCTGTCTCAAAAATGTTGGCTTTTCAAGAAGCTATAAAAATATTGAGCATTTTTGTAGGCTTTGTTATCAGGAAAATGTCATGCAAAGCTCCTTCAAAACTTTAAAAGGAAATATCAGAGACTGAACATAAAAATGCAATAAAATATGATATTAAAATGTCATCAAGTAAATCGTTCAAATAACATTACCTGGGACCAGTTCCATAATGATGTAGACAGGCTGTCTTTGTGTGCACACGCCTATAAGTTTGACAATATTGGGGTGATCATATTGCTTGAGAATTCTAGATGTGAAAAAAAGTATATAAGTTTATCAGTTAAATAAAACAAAGTTTATTTATGATCATTACCATAATGTGTGCAATTAGAATAAATTTTAATCATAACTCAATTTTTAAAATATCAGTATGACTTGAAAATACTGGTAAGCTAAATGCCTATCAACGGGTATTGATAAATATGGGCAGCATAGCACAAGTGCAAATGAGCTGATCATCCTTAAACACTTCTTTAAAAATTAGTACCCACTCTGATGCTTAATAATCAGGCTAATTAGGAACGACACATGGAATTTGCTTCAAAACATCTAGTCATCCTCAAATCATCCCACGCTGGCAAATGTTACAGACATCACTTCACTACATGAGCGGTTTCAGACGGCAAAAACAAGAGTTCTTAAAAAATGTCCTAATAGAAGTGTTCAATTAAGAGTTTCAATGGAGGCTGAGGCTCATTTGGTGTGGTCATTTGGATAAGCACAGTATTTCAGTAGAGGTTGCACAGTAGGAAACATCCTGTACCAGGACTTCAAGCATGGGTTAAAAACAGAACAGAACCCTTTTTATCCTGATATTATAATTCACTCCTCTGGGAAAACTGACACATTCTTTCATATGAAAATAAAAAAAAATAACTAGAAAAAACATGTTTCGTGCATACACAAATAAAGAACAAACTTTAAGTACAACATTTTAGATTTAAAATAATGATCCATAAATGAAAATAAACTAGGAAAAAATCTAGAGATAAAGAAAATACTAGCAATGACTTAGCAAAATTTCTAATAGAAATTAAAAGTCAAGTTTGAAGAATATTTGACTTTAATCCAAAATGTTGCTGGACGGTGGTGGTGCATGCCTTTAATCCCAGCACTCATGAGGCAGAGGCAAGTAGTTCTCTGTGTGTTTGACGCCAGCCTGGTTTACAAAGAGAGTTTCAGGACAGCCAGAGCTACAGAGAAAAAGTCTGTCTTAAAAAAAAAAAAACCAACAACAACAAAAACAAAACAAAATAACAACATCAAAAAATCAAAATGACATTTGTAATGTTGAAAGATGGCAATGAAGAAACTGCACAGAACAGCTATATGATGTAACTGAAGTCAGAACAGCCAGTTATATGATGTAATGTAACTGATGTCGGAGCAGCCAGCTATATACAGCTGATGGCCTTGGAGGAATAGTCAGAAGCTTTAGTGAACAGAATTTATATGTCTAATATGAAACTTCATAATTTCAGTTAAAAATAAATTAAACCTTTAATTCACAAAGTAATCACAATTTTAAAAGAAGCATGTTTTGAAGCACTGTTAAAAACCTGCTGACTGTCCACAGAATTTCCAATAACGCACATGAAAAGACTACAACTTCATTCCTCAGACTGCATTTCAGTACTTAGTATTTATTCCATGGCCACAGACATATTTAGACTATGGCTGGAGATGTGCATGAAGACATCCACGCCATGAGCTTAGTTCCCTCACCCTGCCGTCTCCTGATCTCCTCACCCATCATCCCATCATCCCTTCATTCCTTCATGAGCTTAGCTCCCTTACCCTGCCGTCTCCTGATCTCCTCACCCATCATCCCTTCATTCCTTCATGAGCTTAGCTCCCTCACCCTGCCGTCTCCTGATGTCACCCATCATTCCTTCAACTCCCACTCATACTTTTATTTAATTTACCCTGCTCAAATTATACTTTCATTTTTAAATATGCAATTGGTATAATTGATCTCATAAATAGGCAGATTAGTTTTAGCTCTCTGCAGAACAGGGATAGGTAAGATGGACATTCAATTTGACTTAAGAATATAATATAGAGAAGAAAGTCACCTTAAAAAAGAAAGGTTTTTTTTTTTTAAACAAATGCCAGGCACAAAACAGAAAAAGAAATCTGAGATTCTTGAGAAAGGAATCAAATGTATAATACCCAGAAAGAGTACAAGATACATAAATACAGCTAACGGTATATATGAGCTATGCAAATGTGAATACAGCACTACATATAAACACGTGTGTAGTAAAATAAATAATGCTGCAGTGCTTTTAAGGACGTCGAGAATAATTACGCTACTGATGGTCCATTGCTACCATGCCTGACTAACTGGTCTCCAGGCTAGCTCAAACCAGAAACTGTTCCCTCCCCATGAAAGCACTCACTCCGGAAGGGCATAGAGGTGCTGACTTCTACCTCGGCAAATCAGAGCTCAGGAGATGTTTTAAAACTTCCCTCACAGTGAATTTAATACAACAGATTGATCAACAGTGAATTACAAACACAAATTTTATATTATTTTAAAGAACTCACTTGGCTTCCTGTAGAAACTTTATTTTTAGTTCCTGAGGAAGATCTTCCTTGCATGTTTTAACAGCAACAGCGGTTTTATCCTTCAGTGTGCCCTTATATACTTCACCAAAATTCCCCTGAAAAGGATAGAAGCATTGTTGGACATGTCTGACAACCCGCAAATCTTTGCTAAAAATTCAAGAGAGCATAAAATGAAGTATTTTGAGTTAACTGTTTATTACTGTCTTCAGATCGTAGTGATTATGGGCAACATAATCCTCCACAGTGCCACAGGTTAATCTTCACTGGAGAAAACTTGGGTTCTTTTAATGCTTGGCTTTGGCAAAAGGAGAAGCCCACATTAACACCGCCGTAAGTACAGAGGGTTTCTCCCACCGACTTTACCCCTTAAGCACTCTACTTTATTAAATTATGATCACTGTGATTAAAGATACAGCAAAGATTCTGAGAGGGAACTGCTGGCATTGACCCACCAGTCAGGTCTGCTGCAGAAACAGGTAGTTGGCCAGGGCGGAAAGGAGGCTCACTCAGCGTCAGCGTCACCAGTGGGGACTCATCACATGTACCAGCACTGATCATCTTCCTCTACAGCTGGCGTCTACTTTGATACATATGTCTTATAGTCGATGCATTTAGGAAGAGAAGAAATCCACACTACAGGAAAGATCAATACGACTAACACCTTCTCAAAGAGCTCGTTTTTCAGTATCCCTTAAGTTCTTACACTTTTTTTTTAAATATTTATTTATTATGTATACAATATTCTGTCTGTGTGTATGTCTGCAGGCCAGAAGAGGGCACCAGACCTCATTCCAGATGGTTGTGAGCCACCATGTGGTTGCTGGGAATTGAACTCAGGACCTTTGGAAGAGCAGGCAAAGCTCTTAACCACTGAGCCATCTCTCCAGCCCCAAATTTCATTATAGATGGCTGCGAGCCACCATGTGGTTGCTGGGAATTGAACTCAGGACCTCTGGAAGAGCAGTCAGTGCTCTTAACCTCTGAGCCATCTCTCCAGCTCCTTAAGTTCTTACTATAGGCTTTAAGTCGGAACTCTGTCCTCTGTTCTTAGAATCCCCAGCTTGGAGACTTTGTCACTGGGCTGTCGCCCACTGAGAATACTCCCTTTGTTCACTGGCCCTTTGAACTCAAGTGTCACCGCCACTCCACCTGCTCTGACATGGCTAAAGCCCCGAGTCCCGCCACCACATCAACTGCAAACTCAGGACAAAAACCTCTGTGGCCCTTACTACGGCTAGGCCGCTTTTTAGATTATTTGCAATCCCAGCCTTTCGGGTAACCGGTGTGCATTCTACTCTCTTTTCTACACTCCCCTCATTCTTAGCTGCTGCTGTTGCTTCGGAAACAAAAGCAGAACAAAACAAACCCCAAAGTAAATCCAATGAAATCACTGGACTCTCAGTCACGTATCTGCTCGCTATCTTCCTCTCTGAGTCACAGATGCGACACGGAGTTTATGTGTGGACATCATGTGCTAATGTTGCACTGCGAGCATTTCACGTTGTCCTTACATGGCACAGATCCGAACGCCTTCAATGAGTTCTTTCCCAGCTACAGACGAACATGCCGTTCTTTCTCTTACAGAATAGCTGTCGATGTGGCTGCCACTGCTTTAGCAGCAGAGACGGAGTTACAGCCTCACTAATCTCAGGCCTCTCTTAAATCATTCTGACTGGGCTGCAACAAAACTGCCTAGCCATCACCACTAGCATTTGCAAACCCATGGTTAATTCTTAGTCAGAAGCTCCCCTGACTCCCCTCCAGCACCTGGCACCAGGCAGCAGTCTCCCCTCCCTGTCTTAGCTTCTCCTAGTTTCTAATTAATAACAGCTCTGGTTTTCTGTCTTCCTGATTGTTTGCCTTTTCCTTCCTTCCTCCCTCCCTCCCTCCCTCCCTCCCTCCCTCCCTCCCTCCCTCCTTTCTTTCTTTCTTTCTTTTTTACAACTTCCTTTGAGGACTGCTTTTTCTTCCCCTAGCCTCTTGGTGCTGGAATGACCAGGGCTCAGTTCTTACCCTCTTCTCTATCTAGGCTCACGCCCAACTACTCTGTTTATATCTGGAATAGTCATCTTGTTTAACCTCAGCACTTGTTACTCAGCTGGCTTTCCTCGCTGTCTTGCAGAAATCTAATAAAGTTGATGTGTCACATACTTTTAACTTTGTTTCCAGAAACCTGCTCCACTTAGAGCTGGCCTTGGTCTCTCTCTCTCAATCCCTACAACATCCATTAAGATACACAACTGGTCCAACTTCAAAATGCATCTAAATTTATTTCCTCCGAGCTGCAACCCCGCCCTAGCACTGGTTTTCACTCACCTAACTGCATTCTCACCTAACACCCAGAGCCACCTTCCCAAAGTAAATTACCCTGCTCTCCAGGAAGTCACCTGCCAGCTCCACACACCCACCCACGCTGAAAGTCAAAGGTGTTAGGAAACCCAGGCAGGCCCTGTATCCAGTGCATCCTCCTCACCTTGCTGACTTCCTCCTATAATTCCCTTTACTTGTTTGATCACAACCAAACTGAGTCTTTTCCTCGGCAGGTGAGTTCTGCACTGGCTAATCACTTTGTGTAACCCTCACTGGCAGCTGTCCACACAGCTTGGTGGTGGTTGTGGCAAGTTCTAATTCAAAGGTAATCAGTAATAAGATATGCCTGGACTATTCCCTTTAAGAATGGCAACTCTGACTAACACGCAACCCCAAGCCACTCCACTTTTTTCAGGACTCAGTGCCCTCTGACATAAAAGGTGTCTGTCTCGGTGTTTCACAGTTGCCCGTCTTTCCCTGCTGGTCAGAGCAGAAGCACTATAGAGACAAGGGATTTTCTCTGCTTATTGTACTTACACCATGCACCCAGGAGAGTGCGATACATCACGGGCATACGGTAAGTGTTGGGAAGACTTAAATGCCAACTCCAGTTTAAGGCTATGGTTCTGAATGAAGAAGCTAATTTCTGCCATTACTTAACAATTACTACTGAAAAGTCTGGCTCTCTTTCTACTCATGCATTCTCAGTGTACAAAATATATTTTAAAAAGGTAGTAAAATATTAATGACAAATTATGTTCCAGTATTTTAAAACACTAAAGTTAAGCCAAATAATATCTCTTTAAAAGAATTTTTCTTAAAATATTTAATCTTGTTGAGACTTTCATGCCTAGTCATTAAAAAGTAAATATTCTATGATATAGCCTTAGTAAAAAAAAAAAGCCAGCCTGGTTACATAGAAAATTCCAGAACAGCCAGGGCCATACACGTCTCAAAACAAACAAATAAAAAATTAGAAGATTTTCCTGAATTAAAAATATTTTTGCTTAGTACTAAAAAAAAAAATCTGTCCTTGTAAAGATAGTCTACTTCAGTGTTTTAGTTTTGAAATTTATCATTTAACTGTTTTTTCAAGGAAATTAGTCTCTTTGTAGTAACTTTGGACCAAACTGCTGCTATTGAATTACCCCAGCAATATTGTTACTACATTTAGGACTATTTACTTCTGAATTAGAAGAGCACCTCAGAGTAAGCAGAGCTGCTTCTTTTAGCTTAGGTTCTTGAAAAATAACTTACTAAAATGTATTAGCAAATAAAACCTGTTTTCCAGGTTTCCAGGTTTCCTGATGCTGCCATTTGGAAAAGGCACTTACACAGCAAGTGCTAAGAGTCCTACCAAGGGGAGGACTTCAGCAAGGAACTGCACGCTGATTGAAAACTGGAGGAAATGGTGAAGTTCACTTTTGAATAAAAATGGATCATTTAATATTTACTTAAAATGTCAGACCTCAGTTGACAATTGAGTCTAGCACTGATCACACACAAATTATATAAAAACTTACTAATAACAATATCTAAATTTTGCTTTATTTTTCACAGCGCATGAGGAAGCTAAACTCAACTCAAATTTCACATAGAAATGTGTACAATTAAGTCACTGACAAACAATTATTTATTCACTAGAACCTGAATAATAATGACTGACAGACCTGTCAAGAGTCTAACTGGACTGCCTTTATCGTTGGAAATAATGCGTTTCAATATGGACTGTGGCTTGGAGGAAACTTCAAACAAAATAGCAGGAAAAGGAACTTTCACTGTCTAAGACTCATCCTTACCCACCACTAACATAGCCAGTTACAAAATAGGTATTTGAAAAAAGACACATCTTGCCCACAATATTTAGATAAACTTTTACTTCTCCCAAATAAACATATTTCTTCTCCTGTCCCCATCTCTCCTGTGGGGAGTGTACATGTTCCACAGCACACATGTAGAGGTCATGTAGGCTCCTGGTACTGAACTCAGGTGGCCAGGCTTGAGGGAAGCACCTCTAACCCTACACCATGTACCACATTATCTTTATGTTAGGATATTGCAGAGTTATGAACTTTCCTGATAGTCCAAGAAGCAACACTTCACTTTTTCTGAATTACTGAGTACAAGTGAAAGCAGAGTGACAATTGAAGGTTCGATGAAACTTTCACTACCTCACAGCTTCTTTCCTTCAATCAACAGTCTTTGGTTTTGATAAAACCATTATTATGGCTCTGACCTTCCAGGGAAAATATACACTATTATTAAAGATAAGAATCATCGTAAGCCTTTCGAAGATCATCACACCTCTATCTCAGGGAAAGTCAGAAGATTTCTAGGAGATATGATACTATTTTCTTCTAGTTAGTATATATGTACCTTGACATGTGACAGAATATTAAAAAAATGCTTTGAATAGCAATGTGAAGTGCTCATGGTTAATATAAAATGTCTTATTTAGCTCAGCTGATTGCATACCTTGCCCAGTAGTGCTCCCAATGAAACATCTTCATGATTGAGAATCCATTTCTTATCCTACAGCAAAAATAGAGAAAAAGATGAATTGTTAATCCATGCAAGAATACAGTTGCTATAAATTCCTCTGAGGAAGGAAGTGCAGGCAACAGCATACTAAGAAGCTGTAACTGCAACATGGTACAAAATAGACTCAAGGAAGGTTACTGTACTGACAGATATTAAAATCAATACTGTAGCAAATTTCTTTCAGAAAGTGCAGCTTCAAAACGATGCAGCACCAACCCGGAAGTGATTCACAAGGTATGCTCTGTGCCTGCCACACAGCCATGACTGTTGCTGTCTATCTTAAAAAGCCGTGTGACAGTACATCGGAGTTCCATGAGTTTCCATGAAAACCTTCCACTTCTCACTCTCCTTCAAACACATCCTCTTCTATGGACCACATTCCTCACACTCCTAAGAGTTGCTTTTTAATGCATGCAAACATGATGACTTGCAGCTTTTTGTGACACTACCCAGTCTCACGTCTTCCCAGCCTCTCTTGGGGCATAGCAACACAACAAGCATCAAGTACAATGTTACTAGGATGTGTAAGAGGAGAGGTGCCAACACGTCAAGTAAAATGCTATCTCCCTGTCTGAGCTGAGGGACCAAGGAAGGGGAACACCAGTGTGTGAAAACATAGCTACAAAAATCACACAGAACTATAATGCTAGAATGGTACACAGGGCCATATTTAAAGGAAGGAAGGGAAAAATAAGGCAAGGGATAGGCTAGAGTGGAGAGGAAGTAAGGAAGTGGAAAATGGAGGGGGGGTGAAGAAGGGGAGGCACAAGTAGACTTCAATCTTTTATTCTTTATTTTGGTTTTTTACATTGTAGTATAATTTTTTATTAGATAGAAACATAATATGACCTATAGTATGAGTCATAATAGGTAATCAAATATATTGAAGTAAAACTGTAAGTGGTTTTAAAATGCCCTTTGACAGCCATTTGAAGGACTCCATCTTTAGAAACATCATGTGACAAACATTCACCTATCACCCTCTGACAGACAAGTTACCACAGGCATTTGTTTTTAAGGGGCAAGTTACATAAATAATATTTCAATCTAAATGTTAAGCTCAACTGGTGGACATTAAGAGACCATATGGAAGGGGAACTGTGGGGCTATGTGAGGGTCCAACAGGTAGCAACTGGAACTCAGGGAACATGATTGGGGGGCTGGCAAAGCCATGCCTGAGTGAGCCTTGGAGAGGCAAAGTCTCAAGGACTATGTGTCCTGAGGACCTCAAGTTGTTACTGGGCTTAGCTCTGAGTGGTGCCTTCATGGTCAGCACGTCCCTCATTATGGACTGCATGCCTGTGGTTGGAGATTTGCCACTTAGGGTCAGTTTCATGGTCTCTCTCTGCGCCACCTCAGAGCTACTCCTCCAGTACCATGCCTCTGCCTGTTGCCATGACCCCAACACGATGATCAGAGATTAACCCTCTGAAACTGTGAGCAAGCCCCCCATTACTTTCTAAGCTCTCTTGGTCATGCTGCCTCCTCACAGCAATAGGACAGTAACTAAGACACAAGACATCTTCTTTAACAACGAAAACAAACTTGGAAATCATTTCTCAATACACTCAGTAGGTATGCACACTAAGTAACCCAATAACTAAATAATATACATCTAAATAATCCATAGATTTTTTTTAAGGTCATGGAAAATTGGGTAAAAACTTAACTAAAAAACAATAAAATTTATCAGAAATTGTAGAGTACAGCAAAAACAGTATTTAAAGGGAAATTTTAATACATCATAGGCATATCCGAAAACAAAAGAGTGCTCAAGTCAATGACTAAGATATTTACTTTAAAGACGCAGCTGAAAGGAAGCTAGAGGAAACAATACAACATAAATTATAATAATCTTTAAAGGTTCCAAAGCAATAGAGAGCTCAGTGCACAAAGAACTGACTTAATGCCTGGCTGGCTCTGTCTCCAATCAGAGTTAAGACAGGATCTGACACACATACAAAGTTTCCAATAGAAACCAGACTGATTTCATGGCAAGATAACTGTAGTCAACAATAATTTGAAAGTCACTTAAAGAAGGTTTGGGTCCTACCACACACATGCAGTTCTCAAATCATCTACAACTTCAGGCCAAGGGGTCTAATGCCCTCTTCTGGCCTCTGCAGACTACATGTGTAGTACAGAGATTCATATTTAGGCAAATGCCCATACATATGAAATAAGAATAACTCTTTATGAAAGATTATAATAAATTATGTCACCAAAGGAGACAAAAACATAGGAAGTGCACAACATAATGCACAAAGCCGACACAGTTTTATTTAATGGTCATCTGTTTGCTGATGAGCTGTGACCATATTAAAAACCCACAGACCTACATTCAAGCTCTAATGATTATGATATTGAAGTTTCTAGGGATATGGCTTAGATAGTAAATGTGTTTATAGTATTAGGATACCATACTTTTTGTGAGTTCATGAATATTAATGTGTTTTTATTATGGCAAAATAAATCATTATCCATTTTTCTATTTATTAATTCAATCTCAACACCCCAAACTATGTTAGTTTGAAACATACAATTCTTTTTAGTTTAAACTGGTGGTTTTATTTTTTTAAATATATTTTTTGTTTATTTCTTGAGAAATTCTTTTAAAAGCCACTCGAAGTTAACTCGAAAATATACTATGCACTTTACAGTATCTGCAAAGCAAAGGTCTTAAGAATTGCTAGGTTTAAAGGTCGGCCTACACAGAGATAAAGGTGATTAAAGCTTTCATTAAGTTCACCTGGACATGTTTCCAATACACTTGCTTGCTCAATCTAAGAAAATGCCCCTATTATATTGGCAACTGCCTAGAAAGGAACTATTTCCCTGTTCTGTAGATGAGAAAACAGGCTGGTGAAGGTGATGCTTGTCCAGGGTCCAAGCTACTGAGTGACAGATCTGAGAAGTTTATCCCTTGTCCCTTCTCCTAGTACTCCAACGTCACTGTGCTCCAGAGGGCAGTCAGGGAACACAGCACTACAGACTGAACACTGTGCTGAGTCTCAACCATAGTCCTAAAACACCAGCACTAGCTGAACTGGAGGATCAAACAACTGCCTACATGTACGGACTGAATAAATACCATGACTCTTCTCCTATCCTGGGTGCCCATCTACACACATCATAGACAAATGTCATTTACAGAAAATCAATCATGCCAACCTATAGAATTACCCTAGGGGTGAACAATTTTCAGGCCTGAAGTCTCTCTTAGACCCATGACCATTATATCTAATGTAAAATGGCTTTTAAAATGGCTTTTCATTTTATTAAAGAACTGGGAGGTCAAGAAGCAGCCCTGAGAATCAAATTATCCTGAGCCAGAAGAGAGGTCTTGAGTCAGTTCTGGCTGGGAGATATAGCAATTCTGCCTAAAGCACACCTTGTATGATCTTCAGCAACACACCTCAACTGACTCAATACAGCAAGCTTGTTTACAACTTGCATTATACCCAGGCTTTCAGTCTGTAGATGTTCTAGTCACAAACAGAAAAGTCTCTAAAAATATTGCAGATTATTATCATGGGTCATTTTTCTTCAAGACATAGCTGTCATGGCAATATTCCTCAGTATAGACTTTAAGACATATCATTATTTGTGTTAAATTTAAATCTCTATAAATATGTTAGGAAAAAACTGCAGAATCCATACTATCCACTTAATGTAGAGAGAGGATAGTTTAAATAGTAGGTAAAGATAACTATACCTACTTTCACACAGAAAAGAAGCAACAGGAAATTCAAACTCAAAAGTTACATCAATCAAATATTAAGCTATATTTAACAGAGTTAACAGGTATGGTTTAAATTGCTATGCCAGAGAGTGTTTTTCTGGATCTGACTCTCTGCAGCTCCCATCTGTAAAATCTTGTCTACTCTAGAATGTACTGGAATCCTTCACTCTTCTGACTATTCAGACATACTGTCTCTGTCTTGACTTCCAGTGCAAGAACACTCTTGATAAGGAGGGTACCACTCCTACTCTACCAAAATAAAACAGGAAAGAAATGGGAAAGAGAAAAGCCCACTCTCCCATCCTCTTGTTTCACAAACCAGTACCGAATACTGCTACTGTCAACAGAAGATAATAGGACTTAAGAAAAAAATCCATAACACTACAATAAAGTCACACCGTACCTTACCAACTATACAAATGCGAATTATGTGTTCCTGCAGGCCAGAAGATGGCATCAGATTTTACTATAGGTGGTTGTGAGACATCATGTTGTTGTTGGAAATTGAACTCAAGATCTCTGGAAAAGCAGTCAGTGCTCTTAATCATCGAGCCATCTCTCCAGTCCTAGTTATTCCAGTTCTTAGAAGGCTTATTACAGTGAGTGTTTACCAATGAATCTATTACTGGATATACAAAGTATGCATCTCTTGTCTACCACAGAACAGTGCAACATGTGTTTGAAGACAACATGGGGTTTCTAGGGATTGTTAAGTATTTTTTTTTTCAGTTTTCAAATACAGAGAATTCAGAACAGTTTGAAAGGATATGTAGCAAACATTAAGTCTATCTGCACGTGGATATATTAAATATAATATATATTATTAAATTAAAAAAAGTAACAGTATGTTGTGATATTCATAACTGTCTAAAATACACATACCATATTACAATGCTTTGCTTATATGTGAAGTCCAGAAATAGTTTTATTCTAAATGTTCAAATTTCACTTTTTATTTGTAACATCCATTGGTAAATTCCCTGAAATATTCATTATAATCAAGGGGACATACAGACTTTTCTATTATGCAACATTTTATTTGGAAATTGTTAATGGAAAAACTGATTTTCTATGAAAAAATGGCAGGATACAGACATTTTCAACTCAATAAAATCTGTCCTTTTTTCAGTTAACCCTTTAAATGACAAGTCTTTGGTCTCTTAGAGACGATTCAGAGATTAAGGTGTTTTACATGTTTTTATGGGTGACTTTGCTGCAGCCTGTCTTTTGATAAGCCTTATTAATGGTG